TGCTTCCTCTCTCTCTTACTTCCCTAGGCAGCCCGCTGGCCCCAAATCTCCACAGGCTCCTGGCAACAGAGGCTGAGATCCTTGCCAGGGCAGGGGGAGGGGGAAGGGCCGGGTGTCCCAAGCTCTGAGCCAGGAGGACAGGGGGAGAGCTGAGGGAAGGGGTGCTGCGTGGCCCGCGCCCAGCCACCACCCGACATGCCCAACGCCTGCCCGTGGGCTGGCAATTATTTAAAAACCCTCCATTTGATTCCAAGCTTCTTGGACTATTTCTTACATCTGAATGTACAGAAACCCTCAGGCTCTGCTCCTCTGCCCCAGGAGCACCCCTGCTCTGTGCTCACCGCCCCCACTCCTTCCTGCCCCTGGAGCTCCAGGGGCCTCACCAAAGCTCCCAGGCCCACCGGCCATTCCCTCTCATCCACTTCTCAGCCCTTCCCACCAAGGACAGAGTTTGTGAATCCAAAGCATTTCAATTCATCCAATGGACTCTCCTAAGTCGCTGCGGGAGGGAAGCAGACCTCCTGGCTGCCCCCCACCTCCAGCCCTGCTCCCCCCTCCCCCCCTGCCCAGGGCTGCTTCAGTCTCATTGACATTTCTCATGGAGATAATGCAAACTTTAGCGTCTATTGGTCGAGGCTGTCCACTCTCGCTGCTCACCTCCTCTCACCCTCAGGCCACTGGTCAGACTCCTCCCTCTCCAGGGCGCGGATTCCCAGTCTGCGATCAGGGCAACTGCCGCATACCCCGCACATTACACAGTCCTGACTGGTGGGCCGCAGGCTTCATCCTGGCCCCGAAGGTTTCTGAGGCCACGAAACCACTCTGCGTGGTGCCATGAGGTGGACACACGCCGCTGTGCGTTTGTCCAGACCATTATGCACGTGTAGAACGTACACACCAGCAAGAGGGAGCCGCTCTGGTGGGGACGCGGATGGGGGAGACCACCCCTGTGGGGACAGGGGTATATGGGAAACTCTCTGTACTTTCTGCTCAATTTTGCTGTGACCCTGTGACCCTGAAGCTTCTCTAGAAGAAAAGGTGACTGTAGAAGTGCATCGTACTTCCCCAAAAGGCAAACACCTCAGCCACGAGTCCCACCCAGGCCCGCTTCCTTCCGGAAAAACAAACTGCACCACAGCATAGAAGAGCGCATCCCGAACACCTCGCATGGAGGCGGGAACCACCACAGCGTCCCCCCGCTCCCCCCAAGAGGGGACGTTCCCCACCCTCTCCCCCAGGATTCCCCAGGAGACCACGGGACGCCTGGTGGCTGCCAGGAGACCTCAGGTGCTAAAGAGGAAAGGGGACGCGGTGGCCTCCTGAGGCTCCTGCTACAGTGTTTCTCCGATTTCACAAGAGAACCCAAGAATGCCTGGGCCTGAGAGCCACGTGAAGTTTAGTTTTAGACTTTTCCTCCGAAGTCCAGCTACCAAACAGCTAAGCGTGGGTCCTGAGTCCTGAGCCCCTCAGTTCTTCCCTGAAATTCAGACATAGAGCCCTGTGTCTCTGTCCATAGTTTGCTAACGAAGGGCCTGGGGTTCCCTCCACCCTCACCCCCTTTTCCGCCACTGGAGCATCACTGCTTCGAACCCACTGGCCCCACTGCCTCCACTCCCAAGGCCTGGGCTCCCGGCCGTCAGGTGGGAATAGAGGCTCAGCTCTCCCTTCCTCCTGCAGGACGGACGCGAGTCCTCGCCTGCCGCCACCACTGCAGAGAATGGAGGCGGCAAGAAGAAGCAGAAAGAGAGGGAGCTGGATGAGCTGAAAAAGGAGGTGGCCATGGTGAGGCCCTCTGCCCCCCCACCCCCCCACCCCCC